AAATTGGTTTCTAGTCAGGGGCGGGCCAGGTGGAATTGCATAGGTTACGGGCCATTAAAGTATTAGTGTTGTAATGAAGGTGGCGGGGGGGTAGCTCTGCGGTGCACTACAAAAACATTTTTTGCTTCATTTTAAAGTACTCCTTTTTCGGAAATCAATTACAATACAGGTTTTTTTTAATTGCAGCTGATAATTAAAAGTAACAAAATATACAAACCAAACGAGGCGCGTCGCCTATCATTGTATTTCATCACTTTCATGCTACGACAAAAAATGATAAATTCATTGTAAAACACTTCAATTAAAACAGAATTTTTTATTTTTTTAACAACCGAACATCAACCCCAATTAGAGAAGCGTGTTAATAACTTATTAATAGTGCAAGAAACTAAATACAGCACATACTTATAAATTTCCAACGGGCCATTATGACGTACAGGCCAGGTGGCAATCGCCACCCGCCCCCCCGGGCCAGTCCGCCCCTGCTTCCTGGTATTCCATACCCCCCAGACTCCGTGATGTGTACCCCTCAAGGCGTATACGTGTCACAATCATTTTTGAGGGAAAACAGCTCTACAGGAAAACGAACTTCAATGGCTCTCTCTCGAAAATGATCACAACTAGTATCAGAGTTGGACTGGGTGTAGCATAGAGTGACCCGGTGACCCAGTTGACCCGGTGACCCAGTTGACCCGGTGACCCAGCTTGACCCGGTGACCCAGTTTGACCCAGTGACCCAGCAGCTTTACCCGATGACCCATCTTGACCCGGTGGCCCAGTTTAAACCGTTGACCCCTAGGTCTTAAGGTTAATTTTTATTCAAATTTATAGCATTAGGTTTGTATTGGTATTTACATTTTGGCATCCAAAACAATTTCAAGTAACTTTTAATTTAAAAAAAAACTTCTTCAATAATATTCACCAACAAGCACGTAGCCCAATTTCATTCTAGAGAACAAAGACCTAAAAAATCAAATACATTTGTTTATAGTTTGTAGTCAAGTAGTCAATGAAAGTATTTAGAGAAAAAATTTATTTGGATTAAGCTAAATGGTAGAAGAAAATTAAATGTGAATGAACACCAGTAAGCAACTGGTAAGCCCTGAAGCAAAGAAATGAAGGAGGGAACTGTTCAGAAATAACATTACTATAATACAATTCGGGACATGGAAAGTTTTTTACGGCAGTATTAAAGCAAACATCACATTCGATCAAACTAGGTTACCGGGTCAAATTGGGTTCCCGGGTGAAATTGGGTCACTGGGTCAAACCGGGTCACTGGGTCTAACTGAAGAGAGTATGACGTGACCCAGTGACCCAGTTTAATTCAGTGACCCAGTTGACCCACTGACCCAGTCCAACTTTGACTAGTATGCATGGTTCTAAACGTTTTGAGGAGAAAGCGAGCAGCAAAAATTGCCTTCGTGCGTAAACGAATTACGAAAGGTAAATTGTTATTATTTTACCACAGATATTCGGATTACAAACAATCTTATAATCTATTGGGAAGTATTCGACTGGGATCCATACAGTAACTCCTTAAAGGACTCCTCATTGATCGTCTCCAACTGACTATTAATCTCAACATTATCCCTTTCGACATTGATATCATCATAATTGGATAAACATAGGGCCTCTACATCTGAAAGAATCGGCGAGAGGCTTAAAGTGTACGTATCCGAGGTTGTTTGAGTAGACGGTGGGTAGTTTAAAATTTCTTCAATGCTGTCTAAAATTGCTCATTTATAAAAGTAGAGTGTTTGAGTCACTCACCACCCTGCGTTGGTGTCCGAGGTAAGTTGCTTGCGTTGCTAATTGCAGAGCTCATTTGATTCTGTTTAAGCTTCTCGACTAAGTCTGGCTTCCTGACGATGTTACCGGGCGGGTCAGCCGTACACTTGTGAGAACGTTGACTGATCTTATACCTAAATGATTTATTGCAAGCGGTGCATTTGTAGGGCATTGCGCCGGTGTGTATCCGACAGTGAACTAGGTATGACACACGTTGTCTAAAAGATTTACCTGGTGGTGCTGTATTACTAACTTAGGTAGTCTGGCTTTATTGTCAACTTACCACAAGTCTCACATGTAAAAGGTCTCTCGCCCGAGTGAATTCGTTCATGGTTATGCAAGGTGGATAGCTCCTTAAACGCACGACCACATTCCAAACACACATGGGGTTTGTTATCGGAATGGTAGAGCATGTGTTTGTGGTACGATTGCTGGAAGGTAAAGTATTTGTTGCACTGGGCGCAGTAATAAGGCATTTCACCTACAGATCAAGTTTGAGTAAAAATGTACTGCGGGAAAGCTCACCTACCGGTATGCAGACGTTTATGCTTCTTCAAAAAATATTTGGTCGTAAACAACTTTAAACAAACATCGCACTCCCAGTGCTTGTCCGGCAAACCCTTGCGCTTATCGACTGTCTCAGCTTCTCCGGCATCAGCCACCAACCGATTCTTATAATTATTCTGGACGAAACTGAAATGAGCGACTCGTAGGTGCACCATCAAGCTGCCACGCATCTTAAACTGCTTCGGACATAGATGGCAAAAGTAATTATATTTGCCTTTCCTCTTTTCTGCCGTTTGGTGCAGTAGCTGTTGATGAAGATCCAATATCGTTTGGTCCGAAAAACAAAAATCGCAAATGTTGCACTTATACACGGCTCCCTGATCCATT